TGTTAAAATTGAACGATTTTATCGCATACACACGCGTGTATCTTATTCCTCGTTGTTTTTATTCTGTACGATTCGAATGGTCAAAATGATCAGTGAATCGATGACGAAAGACAATTTTTTTTCTTTTTTCTTTTTTCTTTTTTTTTTTTTTTTTATAATAAAACCTTAAGGGGTTTTAAGACGATTTTTATAAATCATAAGCAAATAAAAAATGGATGCAAGAAATTTGATTTATAATAATATACTAATTGTTTTGGTTCATTATAATTTTAAATTAATAATTCTTCCAGCGCTGTCGTAATTTCTTTAATTTTTTAAAATTTTTAATTTTTTTTTATTAATATTTATTTATTTTATTATTTTTTTTTCCATTAATTTTTAAGTCCCGATTTTTTGTCTTTTTTCAGTTGAATCAAATTAAATATTTAATTTTTATAAGAATATATTTCCTAATCGTATAAATATCAATTATATGAAAGAATCAAAGAAAAAAGGAGGTGGTGTGAAATTTAAGTAACAAAATATGTAATTATTTAAAAGAAAAAATCAAAGAGAAAAATAAGAATCTTTATCAAAGAATCAATATATTCATTAATCTTTTAAACGCAATATTTTAATATCTGTACAAATAGATATAAAACACTTGTATCATTATATATACGTTTCTCTAACCTTTTTTTCCATTCTTTCGATCTCTTATTTTATTTCCCCTCCTTCTTTTTTTTTTTATTCTTATGTTCATAATTATCGTCAATGTATACGTCATAATAATCGTAACGTGATCAACGTAATCTCGTCGAGTTTCAATATTCGCATAGAGGTAATAGGATATTATTTTTGTGTCTTGTTTTTTATCCCTTGAATAATAACCATATATAGTGATGTATCAGATAAATGCATTTTATTTTTTTTTCTTTTTCAAATATAAAAAAATCAATAAAATATTTTTATGTATGCATGTATATGTATATGTACATTTATATATGTATTGTATAATTAATATCGGAGTACAACGTGGAATAATCCTACAAAATGGTTATTATTCATGTTCGATAGAAAAATATTGCGATCGATAGAAAAAGAACGAAAGAAAAAGAAGAAAAAAGAAAAAGATAAAGTATATATATATATATAAAAAAAAAACGTCTTTTTGCAAAACAATGATGTTTTTTTCTCTTTTCTTGAAAATTTTCATTCTTTCGTTATTTCTTTGCTTACAAGCGAGATATATTTCGATGTCTTTATACATGATTCTTCCTTTAGCAGGAATTATGCACGCTCGTTCGATACACGTATGTATTATTAAAAATAATAATACCAAATTATAATTATAATTATATAATTCGTTTACAAAAATTTTTACGAAACGCAGATGAATTATCTTATTTTTTTCTCTTTTTTCTTTAACTCGCTTTGATTAAAACTATCCTTATCTTTATATTTCTTTTTATTAATTTATATTTTGAAATAATTTTGTGCTCTCTTTTTTTTTATATTAATTTAACTCGTATATTTTTTTTCTTCATTCTTACAGCTACGATTTCTGATTTCTGTCTGTTAATTCTCCGATCGTTGATTAAAATTTCACGCACTCTCCCTTTCAAAGTATCGTTTCGATACATTTTTATTTCGTAATTATTAATTTTTTATTTATTTCAATATATAAAGGCTTAAATAAAGATAAACTATCATAAGAAGATTCGTTATCAAGTTCTATTTTTTTAAATTAAATTTATTAAAAAAAATACTCAAAAATATTCATTTTCGGTCTATTTATTTTATTTTTTGGACTTTCTTTTTTTTTTTTTTTTTTTTTTTAATTAAATCTAATATATATTTTATAAAATAAAATTTATAAATTACTTTCTCGATATTTTCAATTTTTATGTACACTTATGTGATATTTTGTTCTTATATTAAGTTCTAAATTCTTCATCTATATTATTTATGATACGCGATTGAAAATTGATCATTTATTTATTCATGCAATCCTGATTATTCACATAAGAGATTCATTTCGAAAAATAAGATTAAAGAAGAAATAATAATTCTAAAACAAAAAAATATTAATTTTAATTAATTACTTTGAATCTTACAATTTTGCTTGACATAAATATTGAACTATAATTATTATTTTTCAAATGAAGAATTTTGAATGTTCTATTCAAATTCAATATATTAAATTCTTTCAATAATTATTTATCGAAATTTTAATATTAACTCGTATCACTTCAATCACTCTGAAAGTATTAATTTGGAAGAGAACGATTCGATCTTTTTATCAAAAAAAGCATGAAAATTTTATAAAAAAGATTCATTGATCAAAGATCAGAGAATCAATCTCATCATTTTTGTATGTTATAATCGATCGCTGAAGAATGGATCAATTTTTAAAGAAAGAACAACAAATGAAACCTTCAAGAAAATCTAAAGAAATAATATAAAAAAAACGTGATTTTTAAAGCATTTTTGTTAAAAATGCTTAGAAGAACAATCGTATAAAATATGGTGTGCATTCTCTGCGCGTTTGTTTTTTTAAAATTCTTGTTTTATCAATGAAAAGTAAACTGTATCTAAATAAAATCGAATTTTCCTTCATGTTAAATAATGATCCAGAGAGAAGAAATATGTTAAAAAAGAAAAAATATGGAATTCTTAGAGATTGAGCCATCTAGTTAAATCTTTCAAAAGGAAAATTATGCCAATCATAAACGATTGAATTCTTCGAATGTATTTATAAAATATATTTAAAAAAATTCATACAATGATAAGATATATACGATATTGAGTAAAAACGAATGTGATAAAAAGATACGAGTTTTTTTCTTTTTTTTTTTTTTATAATTTTTAACTAATTTATAAAGTTATATATATATATATATATATATATATAGGTATTTTAGGTATTTTCTTTTCTTCTTTTTGTTATTTGTTTTTTAATACAAACGAATATATTTTAATTCTGTCACCTATGTTAAAAAGAAAGAACAATATCTGGATCGAGAAATAGATAGATTAAGATAATCCATAATAAGGATTTAAAGCTTTCAAGAATTAAATAACGTGATCAAAAAATTTTTTATCAAAAATAAAAATCCGAAAAATCTCGCTAAACCAAAGAAATCTCGATCCTTTTGAGTAAGATGGCAAACGAAAAAAAAAAAAAAAAAAAAGAAAAAAAAACAGAATCAAGTAAATAAAGACTCTGAACTCGAGCTCTTTATTTATTAATTATCGAACTTATAAAACAAACTTCCGCTTTAAATGTTAAACTATACTTCATTTCTAATTCCAAATTCTAAATATCTTAAAATCTATTAAATGGGAACACATTCTGGAGATATTTGAAAATGAACTTAAGATAAGATTTTAACTTATCTATTCTGATTTTTTCAAGATAAACTTAATATCGATCCAAATTGCTATTTTCAACTCGAATTACTCTAACATTCAAAATCCTATTGTAATAAACCTAAAAAATGTAAGATCACTGATGCTAATCACAAACAATATATACGCATCAAACTCAAAAAGAAAAAAAAAAAATTACCAAAGCTTCATATCAAAGAAGAAAATAGTTCAATTCTATATTCTTAATTGAGTAATCTAATTCAAAAATAACGTTTACAAAACGCTTTCAGAATTACCAATCACTATAATACTATCATCTTTTTTCTATGAATATCTTTTTTTACCGCGAATTTTCTGCGTATCTTCAACCAGATTATGTAAATCAACAATGAAAAAAATAACATTTTTAGTTGTCTCTGCAAAATATATTGCAGAAACGTAAGAAAATCAATCGAATTTCGCGAGGGAAACAACTACTACAAGAATCACTAATAGGTGGTAGAAAATGTAGTGATGATATCGAAGGAAACAGGGAACAGGCGGCTAGAAGTGTACACCGGGTGCATACAACATCGCTAGTCGGCCTGGCTCTCCTTAGCATTAACACGCGATATACCTGAAAAACCAGTTTGCGGGCTTTTTATTAGGCCTTTACTTTCGCTTGCAAACTGAAAGGAAGAGTGAGTGAGCGAGCAAACGCGCCTGGCTAGAAGCAGCTTAGCTGGTGAACGAGCGAGCGAGCAAAGTGACTGACTGAGTTGACTAACGGGGTCACCAGTCGATACGAACACGCACATAAAAGAGAGACGCCAAGTCGCGAACACTCATCCCCTCTTTCCCTCAGCCCTATATATTAACGCTACCGTATGTGTATATGTACATGACGTATATTACGTGTTTATACAGAGAAAGAAAGAGAGAAAGACAAGGATAGAACAGAAACATGATAGAAAGACAGAGACATCTGCAGACGCGTGACGCTCAAAGATCTGTGGCTGGTGGTGTATTCTTTGTGCATATATAGAATGGATTATACACACGTGGATACACACACATGCGTGCTCGTTTGTGTGTATAACACAGCGATTCGCAGAACGATATACAATTTACAAGTTCGTCGCACTGAGTACTATTATGTTTTATTATGCAAATACGTTTTATCATGGGCAGAGAAACATAGGCACGCGAACACGCGTATATTTTATTTCTCTTTTTCTCTCTTCCTCTCTTTCTTTCTTTGTGATCACACTATCAACAGATCTCAGGATATAGCATTAAATAATTATCGGTATCTAAAAAGAAAAAAAAGTTATGCAAGCAGAGCTGATTGTTGACTGTCGCCGCTTGATCAAAGGACTACTCAATCACACAAACGTGTGTGTATTTAAGTTCACATATATGTAAATATATATATAAAATATATGTATTCATTTATGTGATCATGTATGTAATTTCACGTATAGGGAGGAGAAATTTGTTTTCTAATTTATTTGAATCTCATTCGACACGTTTTTTGATGGTTTCTTTCTTGAGCTTTTTCTGAAATAATATAATTGAAAGAAGAAAAAAATAGCTGTTTTTATTATTTTAGCGTCTCATGTTCTATATATGTGTTTTTAGTAAATCATGGTTTGTTTTTTTTTTACCTGGATTAACCTTCATCTTTGTTTACTTTTTATGATTCGCAATATGATTCGCAACATGTACGAATATGTGTGTGTTTGCTATGTTTTCATTTTGTTTATTTGCGACATGACAGCGCTGGTTCATGCAAAAATTAGAAAAAGATAAAAACGAATGGAATCGTCTTTCACCCCTGGTTGATTTTCTTCTTTCTTTATCTCTTTTGCTCTTTTATTCTCTTTTCCACTCTCACACTCTCTATCTCCGCATACAAACTCTCGTCCTCATGTTGTCACATGGATCGCGCCGCTCATCCTCAATTTTTTTTCAATTCTTATATATCACGTTACAGTAGTATCTAAATGAAATGTGTTCACAGCCACACATTAATATTTATACACAGATTTTATACATGTATTTATATATATTTTTAAATATATATATTTATTTATATATTTATAATTAATCTTTTAGCAAACGCCACACCCATTAATGTTTCGTAGCCTGCTGTTTGCTTTAAATTTATTTTTTTGTTGTTGCTCTTTTTTTGTGAAATCTGTGTATTACCACTACCTTTAGTATAGTATTTTCGAAACATTATGTTCATTCGTTATATATTTTTTTTTATTTTTTTATTTTTTATTTTTTTTCATTTTTTTTTTGTCTGGGAAAAAAGAAAAGAAAGAGCGACCGTGGAACGCTAACGGACGCTTCCATATGCGCTAACAATTGTTTCTGTTATTTTCTAATTCAATTCCAGGCGCTCTCTATCCTTTTGTATTTTTTTTTTTTCTCGTCGTCGGTCTTTCGAATTTCTCAATATTCTTCTCCCATACATTTCTCGATTCGTCGTCGCTTCTCCGCCTCACAATTGATTTTTTTTTATCGCTATTATTCGGAATCTTGGCGAGCTGATACCACTGAATGGCAGCGCTACTGTTCCCCAGGGACTTTGAAACATATGTTTTTTTCGATGCACGCACAGTCTCCGTTTTTCTCGCGCCACTATTGCGAGTTATATGCGTCTATTTCGTTCTATCGACGCGCGCACAAATAAGAATGTAACGTTAAAAGTCGTCTATCATTTACCGCGCGTACGCAAACAGATTACATTTCTCTCCACTATTCGTTTGAATTCGTTAGGCACAACACATTTTCTGTTATTTTTTTTATCTGTTTCGCTTTGTTTATTATCATTCTTTTTTTTTTTTTTTTATTTTGTTTCGTTCGGAGTCTTGTAGTCTCTCAGTTGATCCCCTACGACCGTATTACAACAAATACCATCGTGTTTTGGTCTTTCCCCCACGACAACTGATTCGTCTATTGCAGTTGGATAAACATGTCCAGGAGAAATAGAAAGATACATGAATAGACGAAAACGTATAATGTAACAAATCGAATATTCCCATTCTCGCTTTGGATCTTCTTGGTTCTTTAGTCTCTTCAGTCTTCCCTGAATCTATGTTCATCATCACCGATCTGTTCAAATCTTTACGATCCATCATCGAATCGATCACGGCGAACTCATTTTCTGTTGCTTTCATTTCAACGAGAATACTATTCGTTTATGTCACACTCTGAATTGGTCAATGTGTGATGTTTGATGCATGTCCAAGCGTCAACTGAGAACTAAACAATACTCCTTTGGCCCGTGAACAATCAATGATCGATCATCATCATTCTCGATATTTTTGAATAAACAAGGATCATGATGATCCCAATCTCGTCGATTATATCCTGATAGTAGATGTTCGCCTCCGTGGTCGGTAAGCAGAGTCACATCAATGGTTTTATAATCGGTAATGATCGCAGAGATGTCGCGGACGTCGATGACCGTGCCGGTAGTTGTCGTAGCGGTAGTGATGGCGGTACTAGTGGCGACGATGGCATTAGTGTCGATGTCGCATCACGACGAGCACGCCATCCACGAGTTGCAGGTGCATGTATAACACGCAGGTATCACTGGAGCATAATAATAACCGTTCGCGTATACATAGGTGGCAGGTGGTCCAGGTGGAGCTTGCTGATGATTCGTCAATCGTTGTTGTTGCTCTTGGCACAATACCTGGTAGGCAAGATTTTCGATCAAAGCGAGAGTCTGTCGTCTCTCGTGGCCCATGAGACATACAGTAGATTCTTCCACTACATTATGGAGTAACATCAGGTACTGATACTTAAGGGTCTCCTCTTCAGGACCGACGAAGTGATTCCACAGATAGTTCTCAAGTTTGGCGCGTTGTTGGCTAATATCGGGAAAATCGATAAAGAATCTCGAGCACATGTATCGCTCGAGAGTCTTTATGTATTCGGGTTGCGAGGGTTTGTACATCTTAACCAAAAGATTGCAATACTTGAGCAGACCACCTCCGCGAATCTCTTCCGGACTCCTTGTCGAGATCAATTTCTTGTGAAGATGATATAACGCTTCTTGGAAGTCACCATATACTGATTCACCTACTACCGTCGGATAGAAATTTTCGCCAATAGGTAGTTTGCTGCATTCGTAGAACAAGAGGAGCGAATCGAGCACAATCTGGAACGAATCGACCGAAAACTCAAACTGCCGCCTCATCGAATCAACAAATTTCAGCTCGACATTCCTGTGACCTCGTGAATTCCCGAGGGAGATTAGGGACCACCGGTCACCTTCGTTATTCACTTTCACCATTTTGCTCACATAAGCCTCTTTCAGGCTACAAGTAGTGATACGTTTACGACTGACACCTTCTGGTAGCAGGTCGAACAGCGAGCCGAGTACCGCGGCCTTCACCTTGTCATAATTTCGTCCGCTCGAAAGCTCCACGGCAAAGATCAGATCCAGATCGTTGTACGGTTGTGATTCAGTGGCCAAAACGTGAGAAGCGGCACCACCGTTCAATCTTATATCACGTACCCTCATTCCGGCACCACCATTACTCGGATCAGATTCCAATTTACTACGGACCACATTGACCAGATCTCTCAATCTGACCTCCAAAGTGGGAAAATTTCCACGTCCGTGGATGCATACCACTTCGTTCATGACATCGTTCAATCGTTTAACTTGATCGAAACTGAGTACCGCCAGCCTTTGCTGGGGATCCGGACAATTCGGATTGTTGTTATTGTTGCCATTGGTGTTCGCATTGTTGTCGTTGCCTCCGTTGCCGCCAATGTTTTTGGTGCCGCTCACCTGGCACAGGGACTCCATCATAGCGACCCGACGTTGGCGTTCCTCGCCGATCTCCAGGGAGCCACACTATAATGGAAACGAAATGGGAGATGTTATTAACTGTATCATTTCCGCCTTCGATAAAACGTATTAAGCTACGCCATGTTCTCAAATGGATATTGTTGGAATGGATATTACACGTTGAATGTAGATAGAAATAAAGTATTTGAAAAATATAATTTATTTTATGAAGTAATATTTTTATGGTTGTTTCCAAAAATATCCAATTAAATTAAATATTTGATATATTTTATAAATATAGATTATAAAAAATTATATATAATATTGCATGAAAAATTATATCAATAAAAAAAACCAATTTATTATGTTAATCTTTAGCATATATTTATTTATTATTTTATTATATGTTTTTATTATTTCATTAAACAAAATTTGATTATTTAAGAAATTTAAGAAAAAAATTGAAAAATTATTTAAATTGACAATTATTTAATTTATTTAAAGTGTGAAACATTTTAACTACATATGTTTTACAACTATATAACATACTATATACAAATATTTACGTATACAAATATAGAATATAATATAAAATATAAATATAAATAAATATTTTAATCATTTAATCATTTTTTTATATTTATATTTAATTTTATTATTCTTTTCTAAAAATTTTCTACTGCTCTAAAAATAATAAAAATTTAGGTAAATTTTTTAAAAATTCCAAATTTATTTTTCAAACTTTTCTGTATAAAAATATTACAATGATAAAGTGTCAGTTAAAAAACAAAATATATAATGATAAAAAAATCAGAACAATAATTGAAAGAATAGAACAAAGTTAGAAAAAAGAAGTTATCGTCTCAATGTTCCTTAATTCTGTAGATGATATTAATTGATGATTGTCATGAAAATTATGACATTAAAGTGAGTAAAGAATGGTAATAAAGTGATGATGTGATTAATGTAATCGTATTGCAAATAGATAAACAGTTTCGAGAATAAACACAGTGAGAAGTTTAACATTCTATGTGCTACCAACGCATCCTTCGAGAATATCTAGTAAGTACATGTTTATGATTCAAATGTACATGTTTAGAAATATCATGAGATTACATTCGAATAATGTATTTATAAGAACTTCTCATTCTTTGTCAATCGTTCGATCTTTGTGCTTTGTAAAATAAAATAAAATAGTTCTTATTTATTTATTTTTTATTTATTATTTATTTTTGCAAAAAATCTGATATTTCATAGATATTTAATTGATTTTGTTTTTTTTTTTAAGTGATTTTCTTTCATTGAAAGTTTCAAATTAAAGTAAAAATAAAAAGATATGAAATAGAGTTGTTGAATATAATACTTTTTTGATACTTCAAAAGATTTTTTTCATGTATTGAAAAATTCTATAGCGATTCAAAATATTACGAAGGAAAATCATTTATTTCAAAAGACTGCGAAATATTTCAAAATATTTTTTGGTATCGTAACATATTATTTGGTATTTCAAAATTTCTTGGAATTTCAAAATTTTTTTAAATAATTTTTCAATATTTTTAAAATTCGTAAAATTCCTTAGATTGTGTCAACAAATTTTAAGAAATATTTGACTTTTATTTAATTTCTAAGAATTTTCTTAATATTCCAAAATACTTTTTAGTATGTAAAAAAATTCTTTATTATTTTAAAATATTTCAATAGAAAAATATTTTAATATTTTTTTGTATATATATTTAATATATTTTTTATATATTTTCTCTATAAAATTTCTTCGACTTTTAAAACTTCTTTTAATAATATAAAAAAAAGCAATAAATAATTAATTTAAATAATTTCTTAAAAGTGCAAAATTAAAAACCATTTAGAAAATTTGGAAAACTCTATTTTCATCGCAAAAAATATCTAAAAATTTTACATAATTAAAATCCTTGCTTAAAAAAAAATTAGAAAAAACTTAATTGATTCTTAGAAACTAAGAATGTAAGAAAAACTGAAATTAGAATTTTATTATCTTTAAAAATTTCTTATCTAAAATGAAATATCTTATGAAGAATTTTGAAGAATCAATATTTTCAAGATATTCGTAAAAAAAAAAAAAAAAAAAAAAAAAAAAAATAGTTGCTATTATTGAATTTCACCTGTATGTATCATGAATGTATGTGTGTCAACATGTCATTTATCAACTATTTATATAAACATATCACAGTGTGTGGTAGCGATTCCAAACATATAATGGATGAACTAATATTATTATATTTTCGTTCGGAGAATGCACTGATGTTATAACAATAAATATTAAGTAAAAAGCTGATTTCATCGTGATTTCGGTCATTGTAATTTTAGTCACTCAAGGATTATTTTATTCTTTATTTTATTATTTTATTCTTTCGCATTCCGTATTTGAGATATTCTATAGAATGTCCAAACTTGATGTAAGATATTGAGAATTAGATATTTCAAATTCATAAAAATTCACGAGGAAATAGTTCATCCGTTATACAATTCTAGTTGTTTATCGCTGTTATGTATTTATACAAACGGTAGATAAGTGGCTATGGCAGTTGTCATGGATGCATAAACGAAATTCAATGTTGTAATAACAATTATCTTTTTCAAATATCTGGAAAATTAAGATCGAACGATGTTTACATGTATAGGAAAAAATAGTTCACAATCTTGTTCTCTATTATATATATAAAAATCATTGAAATCGATCAGATATATCTTTTTCTTTATGATTATCAAAATTATAATAACTATTGATATCTATAGCATTGATTACATATACAAAATAAATTAAAAATTAATAGAATATTTAATATAAAAAAAAAAAGAAAAATGATTTACATTTTAAATCTTTGATCTATAATATAAATCCCTTAAAAGTAATCCAAATCAAATTCTCAAAATTCTAAAAAAAAAAAAAAAAAAAAATTGGATTACAATATGATCCAAAAGGTCGATGCCATTGGACGGATCTCTGGAAGTCAGCTGTTGAAAGTAAACACCGAAGCGAACTTGTATGCAAGCGAAAGGAACCCGATTCGAAGTGCAACAGGGGCTAGTCGGAGTTAACTCTTCTCGACTCGTTCACGGCCGCGACACGGCGTTTAATTATCGTTATTTCATTAGTAGATAACGAGAAAAGATATGGTCGATCAGTGGCTAAGAGTCACCGTTAAGCTTATCGAGCTCACGCAGCTTCAATATTAATCGGGATAACTGGGCGATAAAACCGGTCGTTAAATTGAAATTCTTCAACAAGCGTACATCAGAATCCGCCACTGCAATCTATTCCCGCTCTCTTTTCCGCGATCATTCTCTCACCATGCACTTGGGAACAACCAGCACTTAATCATGTAGTAGTATATAACTTCGTTAGCTAATTGCCCCACGCTCGATTACCAGATCCGTTGCGTCACACTTTTCGATCTATTTCGCACGATGTTTCATATCTGGGATATTTACCACACGTTTATTCCCATCTTTCGTGTGAGAATAAGTTTTGATAAATTGTTATTTTTCAGATGAAAAGAGGGAAAAAAGAGAAGGATTTGAGAATATATTCCGATTGTTGTAAGAATAAAAACACGAATATGAATTCGATAATACGAGTTAGTCGAGTTGGAATCATTTTTTGTTCAGGATAAAAAGCTGATAAGAATGGCTGTTAACTTGCCAGATATCATTATCGCTTTTTTCCTATTAAAGACGATAATGATTACATTATGTTACATTTCGATTCAAATTAATTCTTTTTAAACGGATAATCAACACTCGAAAAATACCTTTTCTGTGATGATATTTCACTACTTCTTTAAAGAATTCTCTAAATTATGGAATTATGTTCGAATTAATATGTGATGCAATATTGGGAAAAACCAGAATGAATAACGAAGAATATATTCCATTAAACTTTCATCCCATTAAATTTTCCATCGTCAAAGAAACAAAAATTATTAATAATTCGACATATATATTTTGTACATGTCATCACCTTATATTTTCTCCACCAATTCAATATTCAAACTTGCACGAAACTGTAGGATTTTCTCTCCGTCGCACAAACTGAATATTTAATCCATCCACAATTATTACATTACGTATTATCGCGATTATATTAAGAGCCACCGGGATTCACCACGGCCACGAATTAGCCGATTAACCAGTTCGAGTTACTTTCACTCGACCAGGATATATTCTTCTAGTTTAACTTTTCGCAAAACGATCACGAAATAATCGAACCACCTGTGGATCTCGCGTTAGGCGTTTCTCCACCAGTTTCTTCGATGAATTCAATCCCTTACCATGAAGAACAATCACTCGATGCCGTGTTTTTAACTTTATACGCTTCAGCTTTGGTATATCACAGGCTTGATCACGTTGAGAACTTTACTCTCAATTAAGAAGTTGATCACTTTTTTCAGTTTCGATAAATTGGATTAAACTTGTTCAATCAAACTCTTTAGAAATACGATGAACGAACGTATGAACGCGAAGAATATTTTATATAAAACGTTCGCGCGCGAAATTCAGAATTTGCAAACGGTCCACTTGATCCGAGCAGATCCACAGCTGATGAGAGGCAACAGCGAACTGAGACCAGCGCGGTGAAAGGCGTACGAGGAAGACTGGCGGCAGTGACGGTGACGGTGACGGTGACGGTGGCGATGGCGGTGGCGGTGGCGGTGGCGGTGGCGGTGGCGGTGGCGGTGGCGGTGGCGGTGGTGGTGGCGGTGGCGATGGCGGTGGCGGTAACGGCGGCGGCGGCGGCGATACCTCCATCAATAGCAGCGATAGCGATGTCCTTAGTGTACCAAAGAGAGAGAGAGAGAGGGGCGATACAAAGCTAGCAAGCCGCTATCGACGTTGAGCTCTGGCTTCGTGTAAATCTGATCATTGTGCACGGTCTTTTCAACTTTTTTTTTTTTGAAACACGTACCTGCTTATTTCATAATAACCAAATAAGTAACGATTCTTCTCTCTTTTTGTAAAATTATATATAAAAATATATTTTTGGATAAGTACATCATTCAATAACATATCTTTAAGTGTGAATCAAGAAG